GAAGAAGAGGAAGAAGAAGAAGAATATATATAGTATAAGTACAATACTATATCCTCACCTTCGAGTCACGTGAGTTGCGCAGAACATAGGTCAACCTCCTTTCCTTCCGCCGAGCACCGGCGGTATTACCGGTACTGCCGACACGATGCATGTCGACCACTGATATCAGACACGTGGCCGGCCACGTGGATGGCATCGCATCATGAAGACGATAAGTGTTGACGACAAGCCAAAAAAACACAGGCGCAAAACAGAAAAGCCAAATGAGAGAACGTTAAAAACAACAAAAAAAACAGTGGCAAGCGGGAAGGAATATAAACCATGAAACATCATCCTCAACACATCGGAGTTATGTTGTTGTAGTCATCCCAAATCCAAATCAATCAGAACAGGGCAGGGGGGAGGGGGAACTATGACAAGCTGCCTTGTCCGACAGTTTCACTGTACCGAGTCATCAGGAGGCTGAACCCTCTCTCACATATACATATTCAGTAAGACTCTGCACAATCCCCTACCGTCTTCCCCCGAACATAACGCACCCTGATCATGAATGCATAGAAGCTTTCCAGTCCGGTACAGGCAAAATGAGGGTGCGTTATGTTCGGGGGAAGACGGTAGCCAACCAATCAATCAATCAATACTTGCAGTCATACTCCCCAGCTTAAACCATGTATTCATTCTGTGTGAGATATATTGTCACACTGTGAATCGGAGCGCCAAGGCGGAAAAAAGCAAAAAGAAGGAAAGGAAAAGAAGGAAGGAAAGCCGCACAACTTTACGTACAAGGCCAGCCACGTGGATGACAGGTTGAGCGCTGGCTGGCTGCACCCATCCCCGTGTGTCACAAGGACCCACTTGCACGCAGCCAAAAAAAGGCAAAAAAGAGGTAAAGAAAAGGAGGAGGAAACCAAACCTCACAGAAGAAGAAAGCCTATTAAACAGACAAAGCAAGTGACACATCCCACAGATAATCCAATTACCATCCCACAGAACATATTTTCCTTTTTTCTTTTTTCTTTTTTCTTTTTTCTCAGGTTTCTTTTTTTGTCTTTTTCCTTGGTTTCTTTTCTTATTTATTTATCTATTTATCTTTTTACTTGGTTTCTTTTTTTATATAGACATTAAATACCATTACAGAAAAGACGAAGCAGGAAACGATGTACTGTCATAACTCTGCGCCTGTTTCAAAATTTAGCTGTCCTGTTTGTTCTCCTACCTGGGGGGAGCAGCATCCCATCATGGGATCGCTCGCTCCTCACACTGGTCATTTTTTTTTCAGCCCAATTTACTTCGGGATCTATTGATTCACTTCTTCTTGACGATTCTTGACAATTTACTTACTTCGGGTTCTGTTGATTTACGTCCCTGATGAGTAGTGGAGCTTCGCAGTAAGCCCTCGAAGTCTGCCTGCCAAATTGCAAGAGAGTCCCTCCCAAGAGAAACAATTCCGCTGCGCTGGCTTTTTCTACTAACACTTGCTTCCGTCTTCACCGGAATAGAATGCCCGCCGGGTCATTACAGCTTCTGCTGCATCCGGACAGAAAGTTGCCCTGAATACAGATATAATGACCAGGCGGGCGTTCTATTCCGGTGAAGACGGTAGCAAAAAAAACAACAATAGCATAAAGAGTGAAAATTCTGAGGAGGCTCAGATCTCGTTTGCACCAAAAACAAATTCAAAAAACTACTCTCTCGTGGACTTCATACCCTAACCATGCGATGCCGGCGCTGCCCCCCCCC